CCCAACAGGAAACTATGGGTTTTCGGTTCTGGATCTTTGAGGATAAACAATATTTTTTTAAAACATTCTTTAACTATGGCTTTCTGTTTTCTGAAACTATGGGTTTCATGAATCCCCGATAAATGCCTCAATCCTCCCATGATCCAAGTCATCCTCGCCATTCCTGTGCCAGGACTTTGGGTTTCCATGGGGATTCGACACTGACGTATCAGCTCCTCGAAGAGGAGGGGAATAGCATTTCCTGGACTGATTTCAATCATTTGTTACAATTCAGATGAAGTCTAACTCATTGAAAAAACACGCGCCTATATATCAATATAAAAAGGTAAAAATAAATAAATTATATATATATATATAAAATAGAAATATATATATTTACATATACAAAATAAATATATATATATATAAATATGTGTGCATATATATATATATATATATTTAAATATGTGTGCATATATATATATATATATAAATATGTGTGCATATATATATATATATATGTGTGTGTGTGTAAATGAATAAATATACATAAATTACCAATATTACGGTAAGGGTGGCACCGCGCGCACAAATCGGCTGGTCCGAAAATCCCAAAAAGGTAATTATTTTGGACTTTTGGCCAAATACATCTCTTAGTCTGCACGAAGACGTAGCGAATACTCTTTTGCTTGACATTTTTCGAATTGTTTTAAGCTCTTCAGGGGCTCGTAGCGATTGTGGCTGCGCCTATGAGATTTGCAATGATTTATTTTTGAGTCGTTTTAGAGGCTTTTGCGGATTAAATGCATATGTTGAGTTCTTGGATGACCATATTATATATGGTTTGTTGAGGTTGTTCCAATATATTTGGCTTATATGGAGGAAATGTCCCTTTGGTTATTTTTCTTACATACCGATGGGAGGGAGGCTCATTTTCTTTACTTGATGATTCGGGATGAAGGAGGGGCGCAGTGGCGCAGGGAGTTGCACACTTCATGTTGTAGTCAATGATGGTCTTGGGTCCTGCGTTTGATAATTTATGAATCAGGAGTCGTTCGGGGGTCGTTCGGTCGTTCGGTTGTATTTTTAGCAGCTATTTTCATTTGTATTCTTTGTGTGTTCCCATTTTTATCTTCTTTTCTTGCTTTCTTGGAAATTGTCACTTCTTTCTTTTCATGTTTTCCTTTGTTCACTCCATTTGATTTCATTTTAAATCAAGCCGTTCTGGCAGAATGATTATTTGTAATTCAAAGTAGACCCTGCTGTGACCTGGTCGTGGTGATTTTTCCGCAAGCGGTTTATCCACATTCAAGAAAATTGCTCTGACTTCAGCCCCCGACTGTAAAAAATGATTTAGGGTTATTAAGGATTAATTTACGTTAGTTTAGGGTTTCTTTAGGGTTAGTTTAGGGTTATTTTAATATTTATATATATTTATTTGGTAATAATTTAGGATTTGGTTAATATTATTATTAAGAAATGATTACGAAAAGGTAACTTCCTAGCGGGCTACCTTGAATTTTACTTTGCGAAGCAAAGGGGCGGGTTGGACCCCTTATCCTGGAATGATCAGGAGAAAGGGACCCCCCCCTCCCCCCCCTTCAAAGGGAACTCTTGCCATATGCCTGGTGAGTCGCTTCACGCAGCAGCACCTTCGCAATTTTTCGTCATCAACCATCATCATCATCATCATCATCATCATCAATATCATCATCATCATCCTCATCACCATCATCATCCGACTTGAAATTCGGATTTTTCGACATCCATTTTTACAAATACCCAACGATGCGATGAAAGTGACAGGTTCGAGCATCCATAGGTACTGCAAAAAGATATATTGGAGTTTGTGTTAATACTGACCGTGTTTTTTTTTTTCCCCGTACGATACGTGTGTTTGACAATCTATACCTCCAAATGGCTAAGAAAAAAGATGGACTAAATGATGAGCAACCATGGACATCGTGGGGTGCTCTTTTTTCGGATCCAGATATCTTCGTTCTGCTCTGGATGCCCAATTCCATCCCTCTTCCCAAGTGAACTCTCGTTAACCCGGTCGCATGTCGGCTTTCGCACTGAATGATTCTCCGCGTCCCTTGTGATATAATTACCTTTTGTGTCACCCCCCTTTTTAAATTTACGAATTATTTTGAATGAATTTAGGGTTTATTTAGAATTATATAGAATTAATTTAAAGATTAATTAAATTTAATTTAGATTTATTTATTTATAGTAATTTAAAATTTATTTAGGATTAAATTAAATTTTATATATAAAAATATATTAAAAAAATTAAATTATACATATAAATTAATATATAAATAATAAATATATAGATAAATAAATTATATTAAATTAAATTAAATTAAATATATTTAATAATATAAATAAAATAAATATAATAATAAATAGATAGAGGAAATATATTTAGAAGGAAATTTATTATTTAGAATAAAAATAAGAATAAATTGAAATTATAAATTTTTATTTATATAATATTATAATATTTATAATTTGATAAATTAAAATATTCGACATAATATTAATTTATATTTAAATAATTATAATATTTATAAATTTTAAATATTTTTTTATATTATAATTATATTAATATAATTATTTTATATTTTTTATATTTATTAATTTTAATTTCTGGAAATTCGATCGAAAATTTATAAAACAAATTATTATTTATTATAAAAAAATTGAAGGGAAATGGATTTGATGAGGATTTGTAGCTGAGGAGGAGGTCCGGGATTTTCCACAGGAGGTCTTATTTTGATTATTTATTAATTTATTTGATATTTGTTGAATTTTATAATATAATTATTTATTATTTAAAAAAAATATTATGTGAAAAAAAAAAATAAATAATTTTGCAAATTGGGGTGACACTATATATTATATAAACAAGGCAAAGGAATTAGATTTCTGATTCCATATATAATAATTAATATTATTGGAAAGGACAAATATGATAGCCACAAATAATATCATAATTATTAATAATAAGAAATCATAATTTTTTATGAAAAGGTATTTCATAATATTGAATTTATTATTTATATTATTTAATAGGTAGGCACCTTTATAAATTATTTCTTATTTATATAATTTTAATATTTTTGAAATCCAATATATTATTTTATTATTTAAATTGAATTTAGATATATATTTATAATTATATTAATTATATTTTATATTTATATTATATATATATATGAAATAATAATAAAAAATAAATAATTAAATTTATATTAAATTTAGAATAAATTAATTAAACAAATATATATATATAAATTAATAATTATTATGAAATAATCGATAAATAATATATATATATATATAAATTAGATTTTAATATATAATATAATTTTTTATATAAATTATATTAAATAAATTATATTAATAAAATAATATATATTAAAAATTATAGATTAAAAATATATAATTTATTAAAACATATTTAGTAAATAAATTTTGTTTGTTTTTCCGATTTGTTTTAATAATTTGGAAGGTAAAATATTTGGTCAACATTTCTGTTTTGATAATGCAGGCTGGCTGCCAGCCACGAAACCCTTCAAGCTGGATTTCGAAATAACAGATATCACCATCAATATACAAAATCTTCTTGAGGTGAGACGGGGCAATAATTTCTACCCTATGCTATTGGGACGATCCCTATTTTGCATATATTTCCATCAGAATATGTCGCAGCCATGTGATCTAGTATTGCAGTCTCGAAACAATAGCTTGTTCAAGTGAGGAAAAGGGACGATTTCTGCAAAAGGTATTCTGCAGGTGCGTCTGTGTAGCATGCAATTACC